AATTTGGTATAAGAATGTATAGTTTTTCTGCAAGTCTCTGTTTTATTGTTAGTTGAATGAATAACCTGCACACGTAGCTTAATATAACTAAATAAGTGGTATATAACATCTAAAACATTGCAAATCATACAGGTGAGACAATGCTTTCTCTCAATTTAATTGACAAAAAAGTAGCTCTCAAATGGTTCTGAGCATAATTCTGTGCGAGACATTAGTGCTTTTGTCGCTCTGAAGTGTTGCGGAATCTCGCCGCTTGTTAATAGTAGCGGTATCAACCTGACACGGGGACATGAGATACTGAAGAAAACGCTTTGTGGGGCGTCGCATTGGTCTAATACGTCAGTGGAGGAGTGTGTGTGTCCTGAGGGAGGCTCCGTGTCTTGTGAAGCATCACGAGTCTGTCGTCACACATTTGGGAAATTAATAATCCCTATACAACTTTTGCTCTGTATCTTTGTTTCATTTATAGCGCCTTCAGTGTGTGTGTGTGTGTGTGTGTGTGTGTGTGTGTGTGTGTGTGTGTGTGTGTGTGTGTGTGTGTGTGTGTGTGTGTGTGTGTGTGTGTGTGTGTGTGTGTGTGTGTGTAAGTGTGTGTGTGTGTGTGATCCGTATACAAGCTGCTTTCTATTTATTCAATTGACCTAACAGGACGAAGACCACTTGGCTATAAGTATCTGTGTCAGTTCAGCTTTTATCGATTTCTAGAACACATGAAATATATAGTTTTCAGACAAAGGCAGGGTCACCCTCTAGTGTAGAATCTAGGCTAGAGCTTTACCGCTTAAACCTACTATTTCGCTATTTAGAAGTAGCTCAAACAAACATTGGATAAATTGCCGCACTACCCTATAGTTAACAATGAATTATCTGACACTCTATATCTTCATTTTGCTTCTAGAAGATAAAACATTCACATGGAAAGAAATTATGGCAATTATTACAAAGCAAAAACTTTGTCGTTCTGGATGTAAATTGCAATACCTCTATTGTCCTGTAATAATAGGATAATTATATGTAATAAATTAGTTTTAGAGTCACGCTTCAGATGAGCTACAGTTTGCTAGTAGTTCATAGATTACAGTTTTAATAGAAATATCAACAAAATTTGTAAGGAACACAGTTCGTAATTTAAAAAAAAATAAGAGAACGAGAGAGAGAGAGAGAGAGAGAGAGAGAGAGAGAGAGAGAGAGAGAGAGAGAGAGAGAGAGAGAGAGAGAGAGAGAGAGAGAGAGAGAGAGAGAGAGAGAGAGAGAGAGAGAGAGAGAGAGAGAGAGAGAGAGAGAGAGAGAGAGAGAAGGGTGGGAGAGGAATTCACATTTTCTTTCCCAATTTCCCAGAGGTAATGCTATTTAAGCGAGTTCCATTATCGAAGAACACTGCAAAGAATTCTTCTATCAAACTGTGGGATCTTTAGGAACGAAGAACATGCTACACAAGGTCTCGATAAGTTCCAAAATCTCTTGGCTGGTACCTGATGGTGCATGCCAGTCAATGTAATTAATGCTGTCCAACAGCTGCCAACGCCTCAAGAACCTTGCACTCATGTCCACAATCAGTGTCAGAGGGGAGGCAATTCATGCTGGGTACACAAAGGTCTAGTGTTTACAAGCGGCTTGTTTTACACACGTGCGTGTGTGTGTGTTTGTCTGAGCATCTGTCGGCGCCACCGATCATCTGACCACCCTGGGAGACACGGAAAGGGAATGTTTTTTTTCCTATCTAACACAGTTGGCAGGACCAGTTTCGACTCCTGGGCCCCCGTTTAGCCAACTTTGAGTCGTCTAATGAAATCTCTTCTGATCTATTTCTCTATCGTCATGATGTTTCTGTTTAATCAATGTCCTTAAGTATTGTGATTAGATCATGGCCCTTTCGTTTCCTCTCTCAAGTATCACTATACTCTCTCCTGTAAATAATGGCTACGCTTAGAACATTATTTTGTTATTAACATTTAGGTATATCTGCATTTATGCAACTTCCCTAGACAATATGAAGAGGAGTACAAAGTATCAAAAACTACCTACGTGAAACTAATACTCCCCATCATACAGAATGGGAATTGGCACTGCAAATTTTGTGTGCATTATGAAGATATTCTTAAGAATACGAGAGTGAATAAAGTAATTGCAAAGGGGCAGGTACCCCATGCCTACGAGTCTGAATGATCTAATTACTGGGCATTCGGGGATGTAGTGTGGGAGATCATGACGTAGTTTCTGCTCACAGAATTTGCACCTGGAGTTCTTAGGATTGGGAGATCCGTCACCTGTCGCCACCTGCCACAGGTAATGATAACCCAACCTGATCCTGGCAACCACTGTGTCGCATAGTCTGGTGGACTTTTGTGCTGCCCATAAACTCTGGTTTCGGATCTGAACAAATCACAACTTCTTATTATGGTGTTTTCAAGCCGTTGGGAGTCAGCAACTTCTCTCCTATCGATTCACTAGACTTATATCATTTATTTACTAGAAGCGAAATGTGGACACAGGGCAAGGATTTCAGAATTCATAAAGGGTGAGTTTGGATTTATCTCTAAATGACTCGATTGGTTTCAGTTCATGACGTAATGTTCTTGTGTGCTTTCCCTGCGTTTGTCTCCACACCTTTCTCTTTACATTATCTTCATCCCTATACAAGCCGAACTTCCAAAGATACAGTTTTATTAAGTCGTGCTCGAGCAGTGAAAACGCCTGCTAGTCTCCTGATTTTGTTGGCAAAGGTATTTCATCAATTCCCTAAATATGGTAGGATCGCGATGAGCACTATATATATATGTATATATATATATATATATATATATATATATATATATATATATATATATATATATATATATATATATATATATATATATATATATAAATTGAAATGTTCGTTTGTTCAAAATTGCTAATCTCCGAAAGTTCTTCACCGATTGCTTTGAAATTTTCACACAATATTCCTTTCGAATCCGAGCAGGTTTATATATATATATATTATATTGATGTCACGTCTGTGACGGAAAAAACATCCTTTTTTTTAACTGTGTTTTTCATGTGTATTTCATATTACAGAAATCTTCGAAACCTTTTTACCGATTGCTTTGATATTTAGACACGACGTTGCATTCGAATAGGCGCGTGTTTCTATTTACCTACTTTATACATGCCTTACCTCTGACTGGAGAAAACATGCTTTTTTTGAAAAACAACGCCATCTGTTGGATGTAAGAGCAACACATGCTGTAATATCCCAAAGTTCTTCACCAATTGCTTTGAAATTCTGACGCAACGTTCCATTCGAACATCCATATCTTTTTATATACCTACTATACAGATGCCACCCCTGTGACAGGTAAAAACATGCGTTTTTGAAAAACAGCGCCATCTGTTGTCCATAATGGTAACATGCACGCTATACTAAATATGTCACGAATTCCATTCGAATGTTTCCGATTGCATTGATAAATTTTATTTTCATAGATTGCAATTTATTTTATTTTTTATTGAATTATTTGGTGTGACATTGTGTTGGAATTGTGCTGTGTTGTTTACCATACCGTTCATTTCGTAAATATAAATATAGATGCCACACCTGTTACAGGTAAAACTATGCATTTCTTGATAACAGCACCATCTATTGCATGTAAGAGGAACACACATGCTATCTATCTATATTAAAAAAAATGCAAATGTTCGTTTGTTCATAATCGCTAATCTCCGAAAGTTCCTCACCGATTGTTTTGAAATTTTCACACAATGTTCCATTCGCATCCGAACAGGTTTTTATAGACATACTATATAGACGTCACGTCAGTGACGGTAAAAAAAAAAAACAGGCTTTTTCTGAAAAAATTAGTTTTTCATGTGTTTTTCACGCGAGGGAAATCTTCGAAACCTCTTTACCGATTGCTTTCAAATTTTGACACAACGTTGCATTCGAATAGGCGCGTCTTTTAATATACTACTATATAGATGCCACCCCTGTGACAGGTAAAAACAGGCGTTAATGAAAAACATAGCAACCTGTTGCACATAATGACAACATGCACGCTATACTAAATATGTCACGAATTCCATTTCAATGTTTCTGATTCCATTGATGAATTCTATTTTCATAGATTTCGATTTATTTAATTTTTTAGTGAATTATTTTGTGTGACATTGTGTTCGAATTGGGCTGTGTTGCTTACCATACCGTTCATTTCGTAAGTATAGGTATCGATGCCACACCTGTTACAGATAAAACTTTGCATTTCTTGAAAAACAGCACCATCTATTGCATGTAAGAGCAACACACATGCTATACTTGATATACAATTCCATTTCAGTGTTTCTGATTGCATTGATAAATGGAATTTTCATAGATTTTTATTTATTTTCATTTTGATTTAATTATTTTTTGTGAATTGCATTGGAATTGAGCTGTGATGTTTACCAGACCGTTTATTATGTTAGTATAGTTTATTTTTATATTTTTTCATATTTTCATTTCATATTTTAACTGTTTTTCCTATATTTCAGTGATGGGAACATCAGATCACTTGATGTTCCCAATTTTCTGATAGAAACATCAGACCATTTGGGAAGGCATCGGACGAGGGAGTGGGGAATGGTGGGGATGACGAGGGGACGGAAGTGAGAGATGGTGGGGAGGACGAGAGGACAAAGGAGGGAGTAATGGTGGGGAATAACGAGGGGACGGGGGAGTTTGGGATGGTGGAGACGAGTGGATGGAGGAATGGAGAATAGTGGGGAGGGCAAAGGGACAGGGGAGTGGGGCATGGTGGGAAGGAAGAGGGGATGGTGAAGTGGGGAATGGTGGTGAGGACTGGGAGACAGGGAAGGTTGCTGTGGCCGGGTACATATATATATATATATATATACACATATATATTTGCTTTATTTGAACCTTGTTACAAAAAAGGAGTAACATATAGGTTACAAAGATGGTTATCATAGGTTGTCGAGTTCCTCCAGCTCCTCAGATTGTTTAAACCTTTTCATTACTCATACAGATAACGTGGATATGTGATGGCTGGAAGAAACGATCCACTGGTGATCGCCTTTATGTGCTCAGTGTGGCTGCTGCCCCAGACACTATCCCTCGTGGAAGACAACAATAATGTTCTATCCTGGGATGACATCTCCCGGCCTCCGTCCACCACCACGGACCTCCACGCCCTCTCCGTCCACTCCACTGACGAGTCATCCACACCTTACCCGAAGACGTCATCATCCATCCTGAGGGAGAAGTTGCTGGAGGAGGACAGAGTCTACGACGTGAAGGTCCTTACTAGTGACCAACAGGTGTCTATTTATCTCTTAGAGGGAGATGTAAAAAGGTGAGGGAGACGTATTTTCTTTATCATGGGTTGTATAAACTTAGAAAATTCCTTTGATCTGAATGTAAGCCAAATAACTCTAAAATAATTCTTACAAAACCATATTGTAATTTAAGTGCAAGTCATTAGCATTTATAAGACTAATCCATTATTAAGCTTTCCTTTATTTGGCTCTTAAGCAAATACGTTCTTAGCAGAGTATCCTGATTTCATGTAAATAATTCAGGGAATGTGTTTTTTTTTTCTATTGCATCTCACTTTATCTTCGTCTTAGTTCAGATTACACGACTAGTACGACTCTTTCATCTTAATCATGACTTTCATATCCTTCACATTGACTCTACACATTCTGACTTTCTTGAATAGTGCTAATATTAATATCATATATAAAAAATCATATATCATAGAACTGGTAAAACTATTGGATATTATTTTAGGACTTGCTTTAATTTAAATGAATTATATTCAGCTAATTGTCTGAATTGGGAATTCAGAACAATTTACAACAGAAGCTATGGTATATTTTATGGAGTTCTTATTGCTATCCATCCTCCTTAGTTCTAATATACAAATAAAATAAGTAAATAAACAGTTTGATTTCTAGCTGGTATCATCAAAGTGGACATGACATCAATTCATTCCATCATGCTGTTCCTCAGGCTGGTCTTCCCTCTTGGCAAGCTGGGTCCTCTCATCGTCACAGTCACCCCCTGCTCCCAGGCGCTATCCTGGACGCTCTCTCTCCGCCCTTATAGTCTGGTGTCTGGAAGCTCTTCATCAGCCTCGAATGGCGTTGTAACTCTTAGCACTCCTCCCAGTGAATTAAATTATGGAAGCTCTCTCTCAAGGAGTTCAGTTCAGTCTAATTCAGTGAAACAGGGAAGTAGAATTGTCGAGAGTGCTTCGGATAGTACGAATCTCACGAGTAATAATGCGAGTCCACTGTTACATTCTTCAGATCATACTAATCCGTATTTAAAACCTGTATTTAGAACTACAAGTGATTCGAACGTAATCAAAGAAGAGAATCAGAAAGATAGAGAAGCGAAGGACAAAAATAGCTCCAGTAGAGGAAACGATGACAATAAAGATGGAAGTGATGCACACAGTGCGACCAGGAAAGAAGGCAAAGATGGAACCGAGGATTTTAGAAGGACGGTGGATAAAGATAGTGGAGAAGAGAAGGAAGTATTAATAGAGCAGTACAAGGGTCATGACCCCAGGCAGTATAAGTCTCGCGCAGCGGTTCCAGGACTCTACGTGCTCCAGGTAAGGATTTGACCATAAGGATTTCTACAGCTGCAATTAGAAGCAAATCCAATGTACAAAACTTTTAAAATAACAATGTTTTCTGGTTAACGTTATCCGGTATTGTTAATAAACAAAGATTTCTCTGTCGCTCTTACCATTTTATCATGTTGGCATGACTGGCCTTAATAATCCTAACGCAATTGATAGACCTTAAGCCCTACACCAAAATAATAATATTTTCAATATATATATATATATATATATATATATATATATATATATATATATATATATATATATATATATATATATATATATATATATATATATATATATATAAATATAATGACTTGTGTATTGTGTATTCCTGATAAGAGCATAATAAATTATCACGAGTTGTGTACGAGCAAGTACACCTTAGCAGCATCTTGCCGTTGAAGCAAAAACCGGTTTCTTGCTAAAGATGCAAGATCATCTTGTTCTGGCTATGACTCATGATCTGCGACCTCATAAAAAAGTGCTATTGTCGTGACTAATGACCTAAAACCAGGCGAAAATTTATTCTTGACATGACTGGTGAGTTGATATCTGATGACGTCGGTCGTGATGACCTGGTGCCTTATGACTTGATATCTGATGGCCTGTTGGTCATGATCTGAGACCAGACAGACTGCTGGTGTCAGAAGACAGACCTTTACCATCACAATCTCGCAATTTCTTCACACCAGAGCTTCTTTTTGACTTGTGTCAAGGATGAAGCCTCAGAGACGTACGACCAACGTGGACTATCTATCTATAGTCTGACTATTTATCTTTAATCTGACTATCTATCCATAGTCTGACTATCCGTCTATCGGAACTGAGAGTCTATCTCCTCACCATACCAGTTTTGTCTCCATATTCTTTTTTCTGTAAATGTATGTGTGTGTGTGTGTGTGTGTGTGTGTGTGTGTGTGTGTGTGTGTGTGTGTGTGTGTGTGTGTGTGTGTGTGTGTGTGTGTGTGTGTGTGTGTGTGTTGTGTGTGTGTGTACTCACCTATATGTACTCACCTATATGTGCTTGCAGGATCGAGCATTGACTCTTGGATCCCGCCTTTCTAGCTATCGGTTGTTTACAGCAATGACTCCTGTCCCATTTCCCTATCATACCTAGTTTTAAAAGTATGAATAGTATTTGCTTCCACAACCTGTTCCCCAAGTGCATTCCATTTTTCTACTACTCTCACGCTAAAAGAAAACTTCCTAACATCTCTGTGACTCATCTGTGTGTGTGTGTGTGTATGTGTGTGTGTGTGTGTGTGTGTGTGTGTGTGTGTGTGTGTGTGAGGTATCGTACTTTTTAATCTTTATTGACTGTCATAAGGTAAAGGTGTTTGTTTACATGTTAGGTGAAGGCACAGGGTGGAGCTACACACGTGCATGTTCACGCCTCCGCCCTCTGGCTCCCTGCACCACCTACCGCCCACATCTCCATCACCCGCACGCCCACGCCCATGGGCAAGGCAGTCACACTCAGATGGGCCAGCAGGTGAGGTCCATACTCGGTGAAATTTGTCAAAATTTCATTTTTAAATCATTTTGTTCTCTTTTTTCTCAAAATAATATTTTCCTTTTGTAATATTTATAATAATATATATAATAATATTATAATATTTATAAATTATATAAATTATAATATTTATAATATTATTATAATTTTATAATAATTCAATAATCAATTAAAATTAAAAATAACGAAGAGAGAACATTTTTTGGGGGTAATTATTTTTCTCAGATATTTCTGAGAACTATTTTTATTGTAAATGTAATTATAAGACTTAAAATATATTAATGAATCATTCCTCTGTGTAAATTTTTCTCACAAAAAATTTGCTAAATGTTTTAATTAACGCAAATTCCGATATACATCAATATAATTAGATGAACCTTGAACCTGTACTACACTTCTTGACATCACGTTTACTGAGGGTTGAAAACACTTCACTAATGCTCTATAGACTTTCCTTCCTCGCAACTGTTCTTTAGAATTAATCACTGGAATTGACTCTAACATAATGTATTATTATTTTTTATTTTTAATGCTAATGTAATACAAAATGAAACGAGAAAGTCGTGAAAATTCTATTTTTTTTTGATCTTGTATTAATTGGTGAGATCCATGTAAAAGACTACGTGAATTTTGGAAAGATTTTATATCAAGCGATAGGTAGTTATCAGGAGCAAATGGTGAGTCAGTTTGTCTATATAGCATGTAGATATAGCATGTAGATAGCATATGAGTAAAAGGATGTGGGATATGAGGACAGGTGAAAGAAAAATGCTATACTGGTCTGTCCAAATGGATGTATTTTTTCCTCTATTCTTAATATCAACTAATTTTATTTAATACCATTAAATAGATATTGTAATTAGAGTATAATAATAATAATAATAATAATAATGTCAGTGAACAATGTCATTAATTTTGTTGGTGAAGCTACAATGTTACTTATAGTAACTATATACAGTAAGTATTATTGGTATTCCCACTTATTTTTAAAAAGAATTAATACAATAATAATAATAATAATTATAATAATTATTATTATTATTATTATTATTATTATTATTATTGTGAACTTTATTATAAGTAATAAAATAACAAATGGTATTATATCATTAAAATTTTATCCTCAGAATACTGAACATTTTTTTTAAAGCATAAATGGCAATATGTTTACCGGTAGCGGCCGCAGCGGGTACTGCCTTGCGGTGAGCGAGGGCCGCACCTTCCCATCCCTCTGTGCCGCCGCCAGTGCCGCCAGCGGCATCCTCGACCCGCGTGCCACCCGCAAGTCCGCTCATCACGGCCGACGACAGAGGGGCCGCAGGCGGTCGCTAGTGGCGTTGGGCTGCACTGACCGGCCGTGGTACTCCCTGCCGCACCCACCCCGCCGCAGGCTGCACGTGGCGGTGTGGGCGGCTGGGCGTGCGGGACCGCCCTTGGGCCGCGGGTTAATCCCCGCCACCCCCAAGCGGAAAGTCCCACGGCTAAAGCCCGGGTCAATGGTAAAGCTTGTGCCGTCTGCGGCAGGTAAGGTTAAAGCCCACCTGCGGGTGCGGCAAGGGTGGCGTCTACTGCACGTGATGGCTGTCGCATGCGGTGCCAAGGTCCGCCTGCGGGTGGAGTCGCATAGTGGGGAGGTGCTAGCCAGCGCTCTGGGTGGGATAGGCGCTCTGCACCTAGCCATCAGGAGTCCCTCACCTGAAGCACTTATACTCACCCTCAAGATTATCCCCCCAGGGGCAGCCAACAAGGTGTTGCTCGCGGCCGCCCACGTCGCGCGCGACCTCCCTCTGCCGCGCCTGCCGCGAAACTCGCGGGTGAAGGTAGGGAAGATCACCTGCACCTCCGCCACCTTCAGGTGGTCGGCTGCCCCCGGGTCGCAGTCCTACTGCGTCCTGCTTCAGGAGGACTCGAGTGGGAAGGTTTGGAGGACGAGGCCGCCGCTGCAGTGTGGGTGGCAGGCGGCCCTCCGGCGGCCGCATGCGGCACGGTGGTGCGGCCCGCCCACGCCCGCTGGCCGCCACCGACACGCCATCACCACTCTCACGCCCGCAACCACCTACACAGCCACCGTCCTGGTGCGTCACCCCGCCACTGGTCACACACTGTCATTCACCCCCGTACACTTCACCACACGACACACCTGTCACCACTAATGCACCACACGACACACCTGTCACCACTAATACACTACACGACACCCCTGTCACCACTAATACATCACACGACACACCTGTCACCACTAATACACCACCCGGATTACCTGTCAACTAATACACCACACGACACACCTGTCACAACTAATACACTACACCTGCCATCTTGTATTCCACACCATTACCACAGCCTCCATCATTATATTTTCATCATTATACGCTTTCGATCTCACATCACCAACACCACATTACTCCATCCCTGTCATCACTTTATTGCATTATTTTCATCACATTGTGTGATGAAAATTCACACATCACCATATTACATCACAACTTCCTTCCTTACCACGACTTACTAATATTACGCTAAAACATCACTATATCACCACCACATTATATAAATCATCACTGGAATCACCATATTACATGTATCACAGTCACTATCACTACCACATTGAATGCAGCATCACTTTTAGCATGCGGACCAAGGGATCAATAAAGCACTACATTAGGGCTGAAGACTAAGCCTCAGGTAGTAAGGTTGTTCTTCCCTGTGTAAACTTTACTACCTAGAGCTAGTTATGTGAGCGAACTTTTATTTTGTTGTACGACTGGTTGTTAACTAAGCACATTTAGTGTTGTCATAATGTATCCTGTAAGAGAATTGGAAATGGGATTAATGGTAAATAAACTTTAGTATCAGTATCTTGTGTCTGACTTGGCATTTCGTTTTTCTTTGGAAGTACAAAATATATTTGTCACTTTATGATGCAGTCTAAGAAGTTAGGAAAAATGTAAATTAACTTTTATTTATAGACAGTATCATATTCAGATAGCACAACATGTTTTCCTGTTTCTCTTTATTTATGAAATGCGAGTTTACAAATCTACTAAACTCTTCAGTGTTCTCGGAAAACACGGCATTAGTATTTTCCACCTCACAAGTTTTGAAGGCTTGTATTCTGATACGTGCATGAATGTACTCATGTCAGTTCTTGGGATCCGACTGTGAGATGCCCGTCACCTAATGCAATGCTCCCAACCATCTTGCTACTTGTACCTGCTCTTGAAACTGTACGAAGATAGCCTCAACTCCCATCACAATTATTGTAGTGAACCTGTGCCTTCCTCCAGCCACGTGGGTCCTCTGGGATTCCAGTTTCGACTCACACTGACTTGACTTATCTCTTCTCACTCAGAACATTTTATTTTCCTACTTTTTCATTGCATTTAAAAATGTTGTATGTTTTGCTCATTTCACTTCTATGTCACTTTCCCAGCACTGAGTACCAAATCCTGCTAACTTTTCCACCTTATAATGAAAGTTTCTTGTTGTAGGTGAACGTCGAGCGATGCGTTTAGATTCTTCAATTACCCCATCTTAGTTCTCTCGTCTTGAAGCCCTTTACACCGAAGACATGTTTATCATATCCCTAATGCTTATTAGCGTGTTTATCATTCATGCATATTTTCTCTTTTATGTTGCTGCTTTACCTAAGCATTATATATATATTGTTTTAATCGATACCAATAATAATTTATATGTACTGATCATTTTTCATTATTTATTGCTTTTATATGGAATTTTACACAGATTCTCATGCTGTTTCTTTATATTAGCCTCTTAATGTGTTGGTCAGGACTTGCCCTATTGGTCATGTTAAGAGGCTTTCATTGTGACTCTTCCTTACCGAAATCTATTGAAGGTGGCTGGTTTTTTTCGGGGTTGGCTATTATGCCGTAGCTTTTTGGAATCGACCCGGGCACCGCCGGGTATCTCTATCTAGAGTGTATTTCTTGAAAATGTGTTGAATTACGAAATCGAGGTTCTCTGCTGGGCACTGGGCTGTGGTCAGGCTCCTCTTGATGATGTCATTAACTTCATTGTACGTCCATTGCCAGCCTTTGGAACTTCTGCCGTGCAGCCCATGTAATTCGTATTGATCAGCTACAAAAATGTTGCAAAACCCTTGTATTTAGAGTGAATTGGGGCTCTAAGGTAAAAGACCACTATAAAAATGACCTGCGGAGCCAGACACATATCTGTTGCAGACTTAATTGCCAAATGAAAGTCCCCTGCATGGGGGGCACTGCTGCTGTAAAGCAAGCTTTCTACTATTGTGATGTTGTACCCTGTAGCATGGCATCAGCTGTTTTGTCCACCACTTGACTGTCCCAGCTGGACTATTTGTGTTTTTTTGTGTTTTTGAGTCTTCGGTCTGCAAGGGCATTACACTAGTTGCAATAATCAATAAAGCAGGATCATATATCTCTGCTGAATCACCAAGAGTTTCTTGCCGGATTTATTTTGCAATGTCAATCGATGTACAGGTGGAAAAAGTGTCTGGTAGAGCAATCTTACAGGCCGCGTGAACACGACGTCAACCTTTTCTGTCATATATATGTATAATACATACACATATATATATATATATATATATATATATATATATATATATATATATATATATATATATATATATATATATATATATATATATATATATATATATATATATATATATATTAAGTTTGTGTGTGTGTGTAGCGCTCTGTATTTGTATATAAATTCCATAATTTATTGTGCTTGAAATGAATACGCATTCCTCAGGAAGTTTTATTAAATTTGCCTTTACAGGAACATATCCATCATTTCTAATAAATTCCACATAAGTAAATCTTAATACATATATTATCTTAACAAACCACTTTCAAAAGTAACTCCAACGAGTCACGAATATGGAATCAATTTCAGCCTTACATTACTTCCCAATCATATGTTGTTATTCAGGGTTTCTCTGGTGCAACGAGGGAAAATGTGAATAGACTCTAAAGAGCGCTGTAATTCAAAGCCATTATAGGTGATGAGATTTTATATTGATTATCAGTTCATGCAGGTTAAATACGTTTTCAAATCCTTTTTTATTGCCAAGAGAATAAAGAATTTGATATTTGAATGTTAAATACACATGCAGTTTATGTCAAAAAGAGAAGAGAGAGAGAGAGAGAGAGAGAGAGAGAGAGAGAGAGAGAGAGAGAGAGAGAGAGAGAGAGAGAGAGAGAGAGAGAGAGAGAGAGAGAGAGAGAGAGACAGAGACAGAGACAGAGAGAGAGAGAGAGAGAGAGAGAGAGAGAGAGAGAGAGAGAGAGAGAGAGAGAGACAGAGACAGAGACAGAGACAGAGAAAGAGAGAGACAGAGAAAGAGAGAGACAGAGAAAGAGAGAGACAGAGACAGAGAGAGACAGAAAAACAGAGACTGGGAGGAGAGAGAGAGAGAGCAAATGGGTAAATTTTTGGTTACTTGCAAGGCGTAGGACTCACTAATGTCAACAATGTTGACGTCTTGCTCCCTCTTTCACTACAGTAAATTACCAATTAATTATTAGTATCAAATGCACTGATAAGTTGATAAATATAGACCTATTTGCACAAAATTATACAAATAAATAAGTAAGCAAATAATAACAAAATTACCACACGATTTTCAACTAAGATGATGAAGAGTTTAATAATTAAAGCAAATTAAAGAACAAAACTGAAAAATAGTTATGCATTATAGTTTCTTGTTTGCTTGGTAAATACATATAATGAAAAGTAATCAATAAACCTTTTAAAAAGCAAACAATGATTGAAAAATATTTAATTTCACACGATCTATTTTTAAAAATATGAACAATTGCAGCAATGTACCCACAGAGTGTTATCATTATAAAGGGACGTATCAGAGAAAATTTCATACGGGTAGGATCCACACGTCACAGACAGCAATGTCTGACCTGGCAGGTTCCGTGACGAAGAAGTACCTGCCTACCATGGGCTTGCTAGGGGTGAGTACTATACCGTCGTACGGGGTATTCGTGTACTGGGTCACGAAGAGAGGGTTGCTGTTCACGCTTGAGCTGTTGCCTAGGCGGAACTCGACGTTGGTGTTTATAAGGTAGCTGTAATGTATTATAACTGACCTGATCGTCATTGGCTTTCCAAGATCAGCCCTCCACCAGGGTTGATTGTCGACTAGACTCTCGTAGCAGGCGGGTTGATAATTTGAGCAGTAGAATGCGGCGTTGACTGCTTTTTGGGAATTACGGTCCAGGTATATTGACTGAGAGGAGGTGATTGCGTACTGCGCCACGTCTCCAGAGAGAGGGAAGGTTGAGTAGCACTTGTCGTAGACTTGACTGGTGCCCGCTACTCCGGCCCAGGAAGAGGTCACTCGGGCACGGAACACGGAACACCAGATACCTTCAGGGAGAAAGAGAGAACCATGAACTATGCTGCAATATGTTGCAAGCGTGTGCAAAACAATTCAAGACACTAGACCCACACATTCACTCTAGCCTAGAACAGATCGTACATGCATGCACAATCGCAAGAAGGGAACATCTATATACATATTCATCCAAAGACCTCCCAATTTCATGCTTTGCACATCGACACGCTTCTTGCAGAGTTGACGCTTGTTGCCCCAATGGTTAAGGACAGTGTGTGAAGCCCCTGCACTAAATGAGGAGGCGTCAAACCAAGCAACCTTGGAGGAATTTGACCTCACCAGTGATGAGGTCAAAAGGTGTCTGCTGGAGCTGGATGTGACAAAGGCTGTTGGGCCTGACAAAATCTCACCATGGATACTAAAGGAAGGTGCAGAAGCACTAAGTGTGCCACTCTCTATGGTGTATAACAGGTCACTGGAATCAGGAGACTTACCAGAAAGTTGGAAGACAGCTAACGTGGTCCCAATATACAAAAAGGGTGACAGGCAAGAGGCACTGAATTACAGGCCAGTTTCCTTAACTTGCATACCATGCAAGGTGATGGAGAAGATCGTGAGGAAAAGGCTTGTAGAGCATCTGGAGGGAAATAACTTTGTAACGCACCACCAACATGGGTTCAGGGATGGTAAATCGTGCCTCACAGGTTTAATAGAATTTTATGACCAGGCAACAAAAATTAGGCAGGAAAGAGAAGGGTGGGCCGACTGCATTTTCCTGGATTGCCAAAAAGCCTTTGACACAGTACCCCATAAAAGGCTGTTAAAAAAGTTGGAGCAACAGGCAGGAGTAAAAGGGAAGGTGCTCCAGTGGATAAGGGAGTACTTAAGCAACAGGAAACAGCGAGTAACGGTGAGGGGGGAGGCATCAGAGTGGCGAGATGTCACCAGCGGAGTCCCACAGGGCTCAGTACTTGGACCCATCCTGTTTCTAATATATGTGAACGATCTTCCGGAGGGTACAGACTCATTTCTCTCAATGTTTGCTGATGATGCAAAAATTATGAAGAATCACATTGTACACAAGTGGGCTCACCAATGGATACATGACACATTGTACACAAGTGAGCTCACCAACGGATACATGACACGTTGTATACAAGTCGGCTCACCAACGGATACATGACACATTATACACAAGTCAGCTCACCAACGGATACATGACACACTGTACACAAGTCGGCTCACCAACGCATTTTAAAACCTTCCTAACCCTTTCCCGGACTAACCCAACAGAGCCTAGCACAGTCTAACCTTCGCTAATACAATTCAATAAAGCCCTTTTTGTTTTTCTAATTGTCAAAACCATATATATATATATATATATATATATATATATATATATATATATATATATATATATATATATATATATATATATATATATATATATATATATATATATATATATTATTAAATATGACCGAAAAAGTAAGATTAATAATTCTAACACGAATTTTCTCAATCTTTCGTACATTACGCTTCACTGTTGGAGGTAAATCAAAAATCACTTCTCCAAAATTCATTTTTATTTCTAGCCTGACGCGACACGGGCGCGTTT